TGATGCCTGTACTACAGACTTACAGCTTAGCCTCAAATATCTGCCTCTGGGTCTGTTCTTCACTTTGTCCTCCATTTTTCATGTTTTTAAACTCAAGAGTCACCAGGGAAGCATTTTTAAGTTCTTCTGATCATCTGTTTTGAAAAAGTAACACAGGCCTTTAAGCTTTTAAGATGTCTGTCATGGGATCTGTCGGCAAACAGCTATCCTGCAAGCAACCTCTGACCAATTCTCAACACTGCAAAAAATGACCTAAGCAGGCAGTGAAGACATTTCTGAACTCCACGAGCGCTGAGATCATGACAGCCAATACATCAAAAACTCATGCGGAGATCCTGGATTTTTCATCTACTGAGTTTATGGGTCCCCTGTGCAATGTGTTACCTGCAATCTTGATGTTCATATGGCCATCCAGCAGCAGATTCTCAGCCTTCAGGTCTCTGTGAACGATGTTCCGGTTGTGGCAGTACTCAACCGCTGACAGGATCTGCCAGAACTTCCTCCTGGCCTCTAGCTCACTGAGACGGCCATGCTTTGCCAGATAGTCTGCAGACATTGGAAAGAGGTGACGTGTCATGTTAGAACTTTAAGTCTATATAATTTTTTTTAGTTGATTACATAACCTGGCTCTACAGGCCTTCCGAACACGTATTAAGGTATCACTATACAGTTGAAAAGAATGCAATAAAAGTTGAATTTCTTTATTCAACCGAGTGGTTGTGCTGAAAGTATAATAGGTTTTGATGAGGTGCGGGCTTGGTGCCAGTGGTAGCTTACAACTGCTCTACATTACAGCATGTTTTGTGAGCTCATTGAGAGCAAGATGCAAAATGTATTTTTTCTTTGGAGACCCCTGCTCTAGCCCCGCGTGTGCATGCGTGAGTAGGCATTGGCTGACGGCGAAGAATGCACTGTGTTGTCATAGTGGAACGAGGAAAGCGGAGACAGAGGTTTCCGAGAACAGGTCTTCTGCTATATAATGCCTAGATTAGCGCACACTGCTCAGCTTGTAAGTTAGCGGTCGGTTTAATAGGATACTGAAATAAATACAAACTGAGCTCTTTTTCCAATGAGAAGCAAAAACACTGGATTTAGCAGTTTATCTGCTTAGCACACACTCT